GCTTCGCCCACATACGAACATCTTTATTCATGGACGGCCAGACGTATCGTGCAGCGATGAGGCGTAAAGTAGCTGCCATACCTGGGTGAGATAATCCATGCAGGGCATCGAATACGAGACGGCGATAAGCAGAGGGTACGATGGGTCAAGGAAGACCGGTAGACGTATCACATAGAATGGTGCCAGAAGTCGTGGCTAGAGGTACTTCCTGATACTGAAGGGACGTGGAGTGTGGTGCTTTTGTACAACTGGGATCGTTTGCTTGGGCAGCCGCCATAGCAGGAAGATCGAGCACCGGCAGGGTAACTTTATTCATTTGGATTCGTGATAGAGCATCGGCAACACAGTTCGACTTGCCTTGGATGTGACGAAGGTCTGTCGTGAACTGGGAGATATAGTCCAAATGTCTGCACTCTCGTGGTGAGTAGCGGTCAGACTTGGTATGCAAAGCATATGTTAAGGGCTTATGGTCGGTGAATAAGATGAATTGACGTCCTTCTACTGCGTGCCGAAAATGTTTGATGGCGCAGTAGGCTGCTAGCAGCTCGCGACCAAAAGCGCTATATCTCGTCTCCGTGGTAGTAAGGCGTCGTGAGAAAAACTCGAGAGGTTGCCAACTACCGGAGATGTTTTGTTGCATGACTGCTCCTATAGCAACATCGGATGCATCAACCGCTATACTAAGCGTGGCTGGTGGATCGGGATGGGCGAGATGAGTGGCTTGCGCAAGAGCCGTTTTGATTTCAGTGAATGCAGTACGTGCAGAATCGTTCATTTTCAATCTGCGTGGGTTGCCGCGTAGTAAGTCGGTTAGTGGTCGTAACCGTTCTGCCGCGTGTGGGATGAAACGACGGTTGAAGTTAATCAAATCGAGAAAAGCCTTCAGTTCCTTGAGGGAGGACGGCTCGTTGTACTCCTTTATTGCTTGCACTTTGTCCTCACAAGGTAGAATACCCTCTTGCTTGATAACATGACCCAGAAATATTATTTCTCGTTTACCCAACTCGCATTTGTCTGGGTTAACTACTATTCCATTATCCGAAAGGCGTTGGAATAATAGCGTAAGATATTGATAATGTTCATCTACGTTTGATGATGCGATTAGCAGGTCATCAATATAGACGTGAACAAAATTGAGGTCTCGTACAATGCTATCGATAAATCTTTGAAAAGTTTGAGCAGCATTCCGTAATCCAAATGGCATTCGTAGGAACTCAAACAAACCGAAAGGAGTCGTGATAGCAGTCTTTTCGATATGTTCAAGAGCGACTGGGATCTGATGATATGCTCGTACCAGATCGATCTTAGAAAAAATAGTCGTACCCTTGAGCGATGCCGTGATGTCGTGTATGTGGGGGACGGGGTAGCTATCAAAGCGCGTAACTACGTTTAGAGCTCGGTAGTCGCCACATGGTCTCCAACTAACCCCATCTCTTTTGCGCACCATGTGAAGAGGAGAGGCCCATGGACTGTGAGAAGGACGAATAATACCAGTAGCTAGTAAATTGTCAAACGCTTAGCAAAAGCTAATTTGTCCGGTGCCAGTCGGCGAGGTCATGCCGTGACTGGCGGTCCGCGGGTGACTATGTGGTGTACCACACGATTGGTCACCGATGGAAGCTCCTCGAGTGGTTTAGTGAGTACGGGGAATTTCTCGAATAAAGCGTGGAATTTATCGTCACGCGAGTAAAAGGTGCCGAGGATTCGGTACGCGTTCATGTGGGCTTTACAGCCCATGAATTTGCTGTTCGACGAAGTATCGATTAGCTGCAGCCTACGTGAATCGACAAGCAATTCATAGTGCTATAGAAAATCGATACCTAGTATGGCTGTGGGAACATCAGCAATGATGAACGTCCACAGATACCGTCGTCGGTTGCCCAGGTTGACCGCGAGTTGTCGTGTACCGTAGGTAGGAATGACTGAGCCATTCGCAGCGCGTAGTCGAAGCACTGTGGCTTGTGACTTGCTGCTACCTCGTGGTACGACAGAAACTTGGGCCCCAGTGTCTACTAGGAACCTAGCGTTTGTGCGATAATCGTGCACATAGAATAGGCGACCAACCTGGGGAGAAGGGTCGGCGAGTACGGCCGCTTTTACTCGCCGGCGCTGGCGTTTCCCGCCTTGTATGAGCATGGTGCTCGACAACGGCGGGCGCCAGACCCGGAGGACCTATGGAACCAGCACCAACTGTCACTCGCTTCCGTATCCGCCTTTCGGCGTGGCTTGGAAGATGCCCATTCTGGGCGAGTGGTGGCGGGTTTGCGAGAACTTGAGCGAGCTCGGGGGACGTAGGGTTATGGTACGTTACAACGGTCTCGAAAGCTAAGACGTGTGTGAATACACCCGGCCCTGTCACCATGAGCTGTGGAATGACCGGCGTCCATGTCTACTTTAGGACGTGCCATCGAAGCAACTACATAGGTGTCTCTATTACTAGTCCTCGCCAAAATTTTGTCTGCTATGAGGGTCTGATAAGTCAATTCAGTACATACTACCTCTGGGAACGCGTGGTAAATAACTATTTGTCTCCTGCGGCTGATTCAAATCATACATATGTTCCCATGTTCAGATTAACAATGGCAATATTTCGACCTGAAGGATAAATTCACTCGAAATAAGGCAACGATATGTCTGGCTTCATAATCATGGTTCGATTGAAATCATCACACTCATAGCCAATTTTGGCTGGTCAGCAACTCCTCCTTGCCTACTATTTTCAAGTTAGGTCATAAAGTTATTGATTTTTACCCACACGGTCTGTGAAGCAAATCATATAATTACTGAAAAAGATTACATTCAATATGTAATATTGAGGGACGATCAAAGATGGTGAACGCGGCAACTGTTTTTCGGTATGGATCAGCGTTGCAGTCCTGGTCATTCTGTGTAACTAGTCTCTATCCACATAAAATATATTATTCTACCCCAATCCTAAATGTGTTCAACTTGTGCAATATCATTGGTAGTTTGGCAGCATGTTTCGTTGATCAAATTCTCAAGATAATCAGTGTTACAGGGTGATACATCAAATGAACTATTCAAATTGTTTTGATTAACCAGAAGAGAGGGTTGGGCATATTTTCCATTAAGGTTGCACGGTAAAAGCAAGTTTATATTTTGCGTGTGGTTTGAAATAACGTTTACTGTATACCTCATCATGCCAGCGGAAGCGTTTTCCAAAAAATCTTGTGCAAGTTGATTATGTAGTGTACCGCCATTTGTAGTGTAGACTCGACAGTAAGGCTCATAGCCAGGATTAAAGCTATTCGCATTGACGTTAGCTTCGGGAAGATCTGCTGTACGTAATCGACAGTTCACTTGGTATTGTGTACTTGAATCTTCACACTGATGTTTGAGACTGCGATTGATCAGTCTCTTATTTGCATAAATGCATAAACGCCTATTGCCTCGATATTGCTTTAGTTCACAAGCAAGTGGCTATCAGAACTCAGTAGCTAAGTGGACAACGCGTTAGTGTTTGAAGCGAACGGTAATAAGTTTGAGTCCCAGATTGTAGACCAACTTTTAGATTCAGGTACATTCAGTTTAAGAGCCCCCACTGTGTATCAACCGATCCAGCATTACCAATCGCCTCTTCCACTGTTCATCTTTGTCCTATAATCCTTCAAGTATTGTCAGATAACTTGGACAGTAACTTAGAAAGGCAAAATCTAACAGCAGAAAACCTAGTTAAACTGAATCAAGGATCGTTAAATTCATGTAGTGCTAACACTAAAGGAAGTGTTGCACGCAGAATGCTTAAGAATTTGTAAACATTTGCAAACGAAGTATTGTAACGGTGTATATCCCAGCCATCGTTATTATGTCTGGTTTCTAAGTGGTTTTACAACAAATTTCCGATATTCTGCAACTTTTTTGAGTTATTCGTCAACAATATCTGTTTAGTTGAAGTACAACATTTGGGCGTTACGGCTCATACTGAGCTGAATTCTTGTGAATTGTTGTCACGCAACAAGATGAAAATATTTCTTTAGTAACCGTAGCCAAGCCCGAATAAACTGATGAAGACGTAATGTATCCAACCATTTGGGAAAATTGTTGTGAAAAACACTAGTATAAAGTCGAAAGAATTGGTGATGCATCACGACTAACAATAGTAATAAAACCTGTCATATAACCGAGACGATTGGTATAACTGAGCCAGTTAAACAGGCGGGCAAAATAGCAGTATCTTCAACCAAATATGAGATAAATAATGGTTAACACCATAAAAGATCTATTTTAAAAAAAAATGACATGGTGTAGTGTCTCACACAACAACAATCGTGATAAATAAGTAAACAGTTTTTATCTTACCTATGGATACCACTTACTAGCTACCTCCTATAACACTTGCCAGTTTTCTAAGACAAAACTCTGAAATTCGGTAAAGTGTGCACGACGATTTTTTGTCATACGAGCACTACCGAAACTACTTATAATTGGGAAGGACGAAAACTTGCAATGTCATTTAAAACAAAAGTTCACTTAACACAGACGGCTAGGTTGGTATTCGTATGTACAATATTTCGAAATATGATGGAGTCATTGAGACTCTGCCTTACCTGAACTTGGAGTTTCCGGTCAATCAATTATTTTTCTACTTCACACTAAATCTTGGTGACTACAGAAAGTGGCACGGAATCACTGACTTTCACGTAGTAAATACAAGATATGTGAAACATCCTTAAGACTTTCGTCAAACAAACTGAGTTCGTTACATATATTGCCTTATAATTCATTATGTTCATTCGAGATACCCAAGTTTTATTTCATTTATGAAGGCAGAATATTGGTTTCAAAATCAGGGGAGGTACATTTTATGTAATACTTAGAGAATGAATAATATTACTAAGGTCATATCGTTAACCAAAGCAAAAAATTAAAGGGATAGCACGTCATCATTATAAGGATCCCAACTTCTTGAACCAATTATCTCATCTACATGTATTACATATAGTATTATATGATTTAATTTGCTGTATACATGACGGAGCCTCGTTCGAAAGACAATTTAGTTGAGGACAAATGAATATGCTTATTGCGAAATACAATATTTATAAGACAATCTGCTAACCTAATTTCCGGAGTTGAAACTTGTTTTAACTTGCACCGGTAATAAAAAGCGCTTAAATACAGCATTGAACGTCCTTGGTTGTATTCTGGTGGGATTGTACCGTATTAGTTTCACACAGCTGATATATCTTGATGGAGTATGACCCGGCTTCACCAACGGAGTAAGTTCGTTTGTTTTTGTATACAAAAATCTGATTTAGTGAGTTAGAGGATTGTTCTCCGTCGCTTGATTTATCAGCTATTCCACTACCAAGTATGTGATATTTATAGCGAAATCCATAATTAACAAATCCTTAGGGCCAATTAATGCTCCTATACCAAAGAGTGTCAGTGATGTATGTAATATTCCACTACCGCCGGCTGCCAAGATAGAAGCTTCTGACATTCCCTTACCAAACCTCAATCTAACAGTTGAAAATGTAGAAGATAAAGGACTGCCGTTTTATCCTCGTTTGTCTTATCTCCCAAAGTCTGACACAATGGAGTCTTTAGGACCTCTAAAATTTAGTATGCGAAAGTCTACCAAGTCTTTACCAGGTTCAGATGTGCCTACAGAATCATCCGGGGTTTTCGAGTCGTCTAAGGATGTGAAAGTTGAGGAGCCTAAAGCCATGCCTAAACTCCAAGCGATGATGAAAAGGTCAAAGCCTTCTCAACTTCCTGTCGGTGTTTTACCTGCAAAAAACAAATTGCCTGCTACTGAGGTCAAGACCGATCTATTTCTACCAACTAAAGAAAGTGAGACTATAAGTTCTACTTCAGATCACACCAAAGGTTTACTGTCTCATCCTCATTCTGTTCCACTTTCTGAATCCAGTGATCTTCAGTCTACTAGTTCTATGATCAGTTCTGGACAACTGATCCTATCCGGTACAGTTGACAAGTCTATGGTACTTAGTAATAACATTGCGAATAAAGCACATATTCCTGGAACAAATTTACCATTAAAAGCCTCTCCAATACCAAATTTAATGAGTTTAAATATCCAACCGCTTCACCACTCTGTACCGATCGTTGCCACTCGAAATTTGATCCATGCTCATGCAACTGATCCCACTCTTGTTCAGGCGTCGATACCCCCAACTGCTGGAATGCAGTTTGTTAACCCCCAAAAGTTTAGATCTGCGCAGATGATTGCTACTCCGTTGATAGCTAATCCGGCCGTTGCGAATCAGTCTCAACAGAATGAGGAGACGCCGAAGAGTAAAAATGGTCGTCGTCGATCAAGATCACATTCCCACAAGTATCCTAGGTCACACAGACGGTCTCGTTCTAGAAGGTCTAGTGGAAATCGACACTCACGACGTCGTCACTCATCTAGCTCATCGAATTCAGTGCACCGCTCTAGCCGTGCTCGCCACAGATCGCGGTCATATCAGAACTCTAAAGAGCGTCACCGTTCATCTACTGATCACGGTCACCTTAAAGGTAGTAGAAAACGCAGTATTGATCACAAAAGAAAATTAGAAGCTGCTGAAAGTATAGGAAGACGGGACTCAGACAGAAAAAAGTTCCCTACTTCTCAGAAAAAACTAGACCACAAAAATTCACACTTGGAAGAGACAAAGAGATCTTATCATCGCTCAGGCACCCCAGAAAAAAAAAAGAAAGTGTGTGGCAAAACTGAACGATCATCGTATGTTAAAAAAAGCAAGACTAGCACAAAAAGTGCAGTTGCTCGACCCATCGTCAAGAGCCTTACAGAAAAGGTAAATTCTGATGTTAAGCGGGAATCTGATAATGTGCAATACGTTCAGACGCAGAAATTAACTTCACGTATTACTGGTACACTCGAAGATGTTTACCGTAAGACCCATCCAAAACTGGGTTACAGACAATCATCAGAACAAACTGATAGTGATGATCCCTCGAATAGTAGCCCTAATTCATCATCAAACAGCGAAAATCAGTCTCCTTCTAGGAAGCTTATTTCACTTAAGCATGAACAGTCGAGTAATAGTAGCTCGACGGATTCCGACTCAAGTCAACATGGAACTAATCATTCTACCAGTGAGGTTAAACGTCGACCCAGTGAGGTTATTCGGAATGAACGACAAGTGAGTAATATGAAATCTCAAAAACGGACGTCACAGTCACTCCATCCATCCAAAAGTGTGAATATAGGTAAGGCTTAGTCGCTACGTTGAGTTTTGGAACTACTAATGAAATTGTCACAGTTCCCTCTAACAATTAAGTAAACTGCTATCCATACAAATCATTCAGTACTTTGTATCTACGCACTTGAGGTTTCATGACAGATCAACTTTTTGTCTTCTTGAGTGTTGATTTAATTACATCTGAACCTGTGTGTACACTTTCCGTTTAGGTCAAGTAACATCAGTCTACAAAGCGCTGAGTGTAATTTTCAGCTGTATTTTTAAACCTTGTACATTTTGGCAATAAATTTTGTTTCTCAGCTGTGGTTTTTTAAGAAATCCTGTCAGAGTGAGGTTGTTATTCTTTGGCGATATCTCTTGGGGTGTTTCGTTTATCGAGTTTATAAGTTTGACACAGTTTTATTGCGGGTGATCTGTCATTTGTTTACTCGTTTGTGTTGGTAGTTTGTGATTTCAGTTTAGGTGGAGTCTAGCACTCGTTAGTCTTAGCTACCACTCGCAGTGGTTGCTGTGTAGTCGTATGAATCTTGGTCCTTCCGCTAAGATTATTTCTTAGGGTTTCCCTAACAGATTTTATTCGAATGTCTGGAAATTACCTTTTGTTTTGTAGATGAAATACCACTACCATCTCCACCTAACAATATACCAAATTGTATGGAAGTTCAGCCGGTGGATAGCTATGTCATGGAGTCGGAGTCGAATGTGGAGTTGGACACAGTCTGTCCACATAATGTAGAAGTTGATAATGCTCAGAGCTGTCCTGGGGGTGAGTTTATCGTCACTGTCAATGACGTCCTTGAACCCATCTCAGTTCCTGACTTATTTTCTCATGTTTCAAGTGAACCTAGTTCCATCAACGAGTCATCCCAGCATTTGGATATGCAAGGTGTTCAAAAAATGTGTGAGGTGACTGATGGCATCCAGTCACAACCTGCTAGAGACCTGGATGTGTTAGATATCCAGTGCTCTGAAATTGTTGAACACGTAGATGGTACAACACTAACAGTTGTCAGTACACAGGACATTAGGCCATGCGAATCGAAGTACGACCTGCGGAAACGGAAGACTAAGCCTCATATCCCGATGTGTTTTCTGTCCAATACTCTCAATCCATATGAAAGGTTATCCGAGTAAGTCTACTTAATTGCAACTTAAAGATGCTCATTTTGATTATTTTAGCAACAAAATTACATCCTACAAGGTTAATAATGATCTGAAATAGCGTTTAACGATTACCGCCCACATTGTCTACTCAGATGTCTAGCGCGTTTATGCAGAACAAGCATAGTTTGGTTTCGTCTGGTGTTTTGTTCGAAATAAGACTTGTACGTTACAAGCGTAATGATTTGTACCAGTTCGTAAAGCATCCCAAGTTCTGCACCATGAAGATTTAACTGTTAGTTCTCGTTGGTGTTCCACGTAGCCTTCTAACTAATATTTCTCAGGTAGTTTAGGTTACCGGTTATCGTAATTACTCCCTAACTTCCAGGCATTTTTAAAATCCAAGCTCAATCAAAATGTGTTTATTCAATTGTTTTATCGTACGATATGGTCGTATGCACTTATCAGTCCATAGGCAGTCGTTCGGGCAGTCAAATGTATTTACCCTGTACGGTGTTTATTGAGGACAAACTTGTCAGTTGTCGTCTAGCTTATTGTAGTTAGTGTGGTTAGTTTTCATTTTGTTAAGAGAAAACGCACAAGGGACTCGGGATTTGTAGAAAACAGCGTTGGAAAATTATGTTACTGTAAATGGTCATCGACAAAAACCCGGTGGATTCTCGTTCTCACGTCTTACAAATGAATTTCTCTGCTTTCAAGAGTATTAGCTACATTAATGTGAACCACATGGTTTACCTGCTCCCAAATGGTGTGTTGTTTCTATTGATAGCATTTTGGATTTTGTACTCTAGGTCTTTTGTGAAGGTTCGTAGAATCCGAAAGTGATCCCATCTTTCTTAAAAGTTGAGTGTGATGAGAGCTTATATATCTAAGCTTAGCGTTTTATTATCCGAACTGCCAATTCTAATGCCTTTCAAAATTTGTTTGGTTTCATTCGTTGGGTCTAACAGGACTTTTTTGAAAATGAGTTAATTTGCCTCGGTGAATTGCCGTATGAATGTACAAATCTGTTACCATATCACTGCTATCTTAAACCTGCTTGATTAGACCCTTACTTTGTTCCAGGTGTATCTGTTAATTTTAATCCTCATGAGAATAACTGTGTAGGTGGCTATTTCTTGGATCCATTGTTTCCTAAAGCTCTATTGAATATTCTTAATATTAATTCTGATAAGTTTACCATTCGAGTTGCTGATAAGATTAGTTGATAACTAAATGACAATTGCTAGAATTACTGAATTGACTTTTTTGTTGATTCAAAAATGACTTCCATAAATATCCTTTTGTTTCTGTCCCACAGTTATGATGTTGATCTTAGCAGCATTTTTTCTTCGTATCCTGGGGCACCTATTCCACAATACACTCACTTGTTGAACAATGACTACAGTCTTTTGAGTTCGACCCGTTCATCGATTCCCAGTAAGTCAACATACTCGGGAAGTGGTAAGCTTCTTGGGGCATCTGGAATTCGTGCTAGTTCATTACACTATGAGATGCGACAATGGATTTGTGATTGCGTCGCTCCTACTCCAGTGGAACTTGATCTAGGCATACTTTCCTGTGGTCCTGGTTGTATCAACCGTGCTCTGAATATTGAGTGCGGACCGCATTGCGCTGCTGGTGATTTTTGTAGTAATCGTCAGTTCCAGATGAGGCTTTACGCTCCGACAAGACCCTTTTATGCGGGTAAAGAGAAAGGGTGGGGACTGATGGCAACAGATAACGTCGAGAAGTAAGTTGATGCAATACACCACTCCATTGGAACTTTTTTATTTGTAGAGGATCTTTTGTAATTGAATATGTGGGAGAAGTAATTGACTTTTCTGAATTTCGTCGACGTATCCGGCGGTACGAACGCCTGGGTCACGCTCATCACTACTTTATGGCTGTGGAGTCAGATAGATTCATCGATGCTGGTAGTAAAGGCAACTGGGCAAGATTCGTAAATCACTCATGCGAACCCAACTGTGTTACTCAAAAGGTAAATAAATAATCATCTTGAATGTTTGATAAGTTTTAAACTAATTAGTTAATCGATAGTTCATATATTTAAAGTTCAATAAGTTGTTCGTTATAGTTATTCGTAGTACTATCGTAATACCTAGAAAACAACTTGCCCATTAGCACCTACTTACGGTATTTTATTATCTTTGTTTTTATTTCTTAGTGGAGTGTGGATGGTGAAATACGGATTGGATTTTTTGCTAAAGAAGATATCCCATCTGGTCAGGAAGTAACCATAGATTATCAGTTTGTCCAGTATGGGTATGTGTTGTGTAATGTGTTTTCAGAATAAAATTGCGTTAAACCTAGAAGTTTGATTAAATGTAACAACTTTGTGTAGATGTTAAAGCAAAACCAGTTTTGTTAATAGCAATTTTAACAGCGCTGACTATCTATAAACCTTGAGATTCGTAATATGTGTTTAATATTCTTCAGTTATGTTTATTTACCAGGTGTCTAGCTTGCAATCACGTGTCAAAATGATTGTGCTTGGAAACAGTCTAAATGATTGTAATGAGTATCTAAATGAATCTAATTCGTATTTTATCATTAAAAAATGATAAACTTCAGCTGATAGATAGGACTTTGGATTCTATCCACACAAATAGTGGTATTGACTACTGGTGATATTGGTGTGTTCCTTGAAGCAATAACGTTTCACGTGTCAGTGGTTAGTTTTCGATGTTATTTTTTTTGTGATAGAAGATGCTTACTCAGGTAACTGCTGATTATAGTTGAGTGTTTTCTGAACGATATTGGTTGGTTTGTCGTCTAACGTGTCCTAAAATGATTCTAGTGTTCTAAATGTCTAAATCCAAAATCCAGTAACTTGACTAACTTGATGAAAAGTCCTGGTTGTTCTGCCTATAACTTTTTCGAATTAAGGAGGAACGTATAGACATTTTCAATAGAAAGTCGGAATTCAATAAATTGAATTAGGTTTTGTTTGTTTATTTAAATACAAATATTGATACAAACGGGCACTGAAATAAATCTTTGCCACACAAATAAGTGAATGAAGTCGTGTAAAGATAGACAATGAAAGGTTAATATGATAAAAAAAACAATTAAGTGAATAAGTGAGTGAACAGGAAAAACAGTACATGTGAAAAAATATTCCGAAATACTACTTTTAGTTACAGAAGTCCTTCTTGTTTTCCAGAAGTGAAACAAAATTACAACAGGACTGAGCTATGTCTAACATTAATTTGCACCAATGGATTACAGTCTTATACAATGTTTTTTCATACCTCAGCAGCGTGTCATAAACTGATCATTCCTCCGCTCTCGCTAACCGAACCCAGTGTCAGGAAACAAAGCACGATGTGGAAGTCGCTTGGAAGACATTTGAAGTACATATTCAAACCACTGGAGCCAGTATTTCAACATGACGAAACTAATCGGGCTGTCGTCACCACCCCCGAACACAGATATCCAAACCTCTGCATTACTAACATGGTGTTACCTCTAAATGCTGACAGTTTATTCGGAGATAACGATGATCAAACACAGTCACTGAAGGTTCTTAGCCCGGATTCTCTCTAGACATTCATGATCTTGTAGTGACCTACTTTATCAAGAGAACGCGATTGGTTTAATGGAAACAATTATTATAACCAATTGTACCAGTGATTGTTTTACTGTACTTGTTTGTTTAACTGTACTAAAGACTCTTCCTTCCGTTGATTGTGACATTGCACAAATTCGGTTACGCTCAGTAACCACACTTGTAACCTGGCACGATCTCAGTATTCTTTCGATACCACGAGATCGCCAGCAAATACATCTCGACTACAGCCATCAACTGCCTTCTGATATTTGACTTACGGGGGATCTTGTCGGTTAACTGGCACGTAGTCTTCCTGTAGTGGTGATCATAGTCAACCGCGACTCGACGCCACACTACAATCTCTGTTCATAGTTTGTTTTATCCCAGTGATGTCATGTATTCAAATAACCGAACAAAATCCCAATTAGTGTATCTCAATTCAGCTAAATTTAGGTCTATAAATCAACCCGCTGTTAGTAATACTACATGAATTTCTTGACGGTATGCAAAATGTTGGAATCTGCCACTCGGCAATTGAAAATAAGTACATGAAATATTGAGGTTTAAAGGCTTTTATTTAAACCTACATGCTTGGATCAGCTGTGACTATATAATCATACTAAACTATGTTTGCTTTATAGTTACTTTGTGACTAGGTCGAAAATTAAGACTTATTCTTACACACAGCTTTTAGGAAATTTTACATAAAATGTTTCTATGGTTTCACCCAAATATATCCCAGGTACCGAAATGTCTTTATTGAAGTTCAGATTTTTAAAAAGAACTCTATCCTACTTCAGTCTGGGAGGTGGTGCTATATATTTATATCATGGCTCAGATTTTAATGCGTAAACCTATACTCAGTAAATAAGCTGTATTAAAGTATACTTACCGTAAGAGCTCGTAGACAACAAAATAACGAGTGATTCTCGAAATCCCGATTTCAGTGTGCAACCTGGTAAAATTATGTTCGTTTAAGGTCAGAAGGTGATGTTATATTATTATCCTATATTCATAAATGCATACTCACGAGCTTCGAGACCAATTTTGCCCAAATTGAAACAAATATACAGATACGTCATATTAGGTATTATACATAATCCGATTTTTAATTCCAACTTTTCCGTTTCGTAAAATTAACTGGCACCATTCGACTAACTATAAACTACTTATTTTGTTCCTTTTTGACTCAAACCAATGTTTATTCAGGTTGAACTCACTTCACATTAAAAAAATCTAAGCGAACAATCGTATCCATTCTTCTTGGGGCAAGTTTAAATGATTGGATGAGGTAAATTTATTAACATCCAATAAGACGCATTTAACAAAATCTGTTCTTTCACCACTATATTGACTTTTAAACTTATTCGTTCTATATTTTTGTTTATTGTTTTGTAAAATTCAGGGTTTCTGAACAAAAGTGTTATTGTGGTGCGTCTACCTGCTCTGGTGTAATGGGGGCGACCAGCAAATATTTGCAAGAAAAAGTTCGCATGAAAGATACTACAATGGTATGTCATGGATTGTTAGTGCGTGCAATGTATCTTTTTGTGATTTCTTTTTATCTACTTTTATCGCCAACACTTCGTAACTGACAGCAGTTAAATTTGTCCTAAATGGCGAAACAAATCCAGTTTGAAACAGTCAAAAATGCATAGTCAGTTTGGGATAAAATACTCATCGTTTTGTTACTGACTTCTGAGCAAAATTAAAAGCTAGACATTTTGCAGTAAAATATCAATACGATGACTTAAGTTTTTCTCATTTTCGACCTTATACTACCTGTTCTTAGGCGTCCTTTTTTCAAGTATCAATTATCATGACATAAGTACACGTTTACGGCTTAGCAAAATATTCTTACTGCCACTCAATGTGTCATAATTCGAACCACAGTTACCAGTGACTTAGGTTTTGAGCGATTAAGTAGTTATATGATAATCTTGCAACCGTAGCTTCAGGTTAGGATTTGTAAGTTAGATACTACTCCTTCGGACTAACAAAAATACACAAAAAACTAACGGACAATTTTCCAGTGCTACTCAAGGGGGTAATATGACACAAATAACTCTATGTTTTGTTGCAGCACTTGCGTGTGTCGTGCATGATTCTATACTATTATCTTCATCATAAGTTCAGTAAGTAATTTAGCGTCTCAAGCGATTTATATTTTTATCTTGTCGATGTTTCGTCAAAACCAGTTGTATCATTCACGTGGGTAACTAAATCGAATGTTTCATTGGGCTGAGTTATTGCTGAGTTAATTTCTTGTCATCATTTAGTGCTTTTATGAATCATATCTTGGATAGATCTAATGAAAGATCCCACATAATGTATCTTCACTGATCAAGTTTACCAAGTATCGAGTTACGAAAACCTGCACCCGGCTGATCTTCCCCACTCCGTTAACATGAGTCTGCGTGTTTGAATTTGCCGTAAGAAATATAGGTCGTAACAACCTGCCAGTTATATATATATATACGATCAAGGAGCCGATTGAATTCTAGAACAATGCTGTCTTAATATCTATCTTCCAAAATATGGAACAAAATATTGGTAACTGAAGACAAATTTCTCATAAAAGAAGTTTTGGTAAGAAGTTGGAAAACAAGCTGAGGTTTGCTTACATCTTGTATGGATTGGTCGTGTTTATCTTTCCATAAGTCCCCGAACACTTTCACATGTGTTGCTGGTCAATAGTAAATGTCTTTAATCTTGTTAGTACTACTGTAAAACAAGGCAATGAACAAAAGGGATTTTTATTGTAAGAAATTACACTGTATGTATGCATAACCTCTGGTCATCCATCTGCATCTTGCGGTGTGTTCTTCAACCCGAACTGTCTTCTCTCCTGGTCATCAAGTGTTCTGCCTACACCGTGATTTTGGTGCACTGAAACTCTTCTCTCCGTCTGACGACTGTGATAACTTCGACACCACGTTCCACTACACACTATGTACGAGTAGTCTTGTGAATTGCTTCCATCACACTACTATCGACCAGTTGACTTAAACTATGCAGTGAAGTCACTGGCTAAATAGTTTTCTGTTCGATATATTTGCTAACATCTTCAAAAGCTTGTACAAAAACAAGTAGGATAGGATTAGACTATCCTGAGTACCTCATCCATTCTATTACTTTTGGTTCCTTTAATGTTGCTGCAGGAAACAACATGCTCAGTTCCCAAATTATTTACCACAAAGATCAGTTAGTTTCTTATAGCATTCGACTTCCAATCCCTAATTCACTGGTCCGAATCCCGTTCTATCTCCGGTTTGTGCACCCAAATTGAATAATTATCCTCACAAAGAGTATGGCTTATAGCCTAGTACACGGATTTTTTATTTAGTTAAATTAGTTGCATTATTTACAAGAATATCAAATAAAAAGTTGAGAATTAATTTTCAACTGCTTACGTGACGTGATTTGGATTTGGAAATCGTTTAATCCCATTTACTAATTGTAGTGGATCTATCACAGTTGACATATTCCTTTGCTAAATTCATTTTACCTCTAGGTTGAAAGACGCATTCTCCAACTCCTTCAATTAGATTCGTTCAGAAATGCAGACGATATAACTCTGTTATTACAAGTTATGGTTCAAGAATGCCTTACAAGGTACACTCGACTGCAGCTTCTCAGCCGTCTGATTAAAACAGAAAACGATGCTTGTCTTAAACTTTTTCGACAGTATAATGGTCTCGATATGTTGGCGGCCTTTATGTGTGATGCAGCGCCGAAAGATTGGGAACTCAAAAAGCAGGTATATGGAAAAATTGTTTTTCTTTGTGCGAAATGTTTTGCTAAACTACTGAGGTATCTCTTTGTGTCTTAAAACTTTTCCGTTTCATACCTACACATGGTAATTTCCAGTGTGGTGGTTAATTTTCAATTCACTTAGTTCATATAAATAACAAATTTGCTTGTATTTCGGTGTATGCTACTTATGTCGACAAATATAAGCAGTATGTAACACCAGTTGGAAGCGAAAAACCTGGCAGCAGAAGGCTGAGAAGACCGTGTTGAAGAGAATAGAAGGGAAAATAGAAAGGAATTGTGGGCTGAAAGAATCATACATAATTTGAAGGATAAATGATGAAAATTTTCAAGTGAAGTATTTAGTGTATGGTTCTAATATTTTACCAAGAGATTCTGTATTTAAATACAGTCGGTTGTCCCCACCTATTTTCTCGTTCATTATAATATGTGCATATGAGCTACTTTCACATGCATTTCGCTTATTATCACTTTATTTGCTTGCGCTTCGATATATTTTATACGTTAACAAAATCAAAACCTCATGTATGTTTGCAAATCTATTTCTTTCTAGATATTAGTTTGCTTGAAACACATCCCTGTTTCAGAGCAAAAACAGGTACAGTCGAATTCACGCCTTATGGAAATAGTAGCACAGTGGACTTCCAATCCTCACCACTGTCGGGCACGTAGTATTCCTCCCGAGTCTTGGAAGAGTGCTGATGTACATATAGCAGGTAAAGTTGCTCAAACTGCTGAACTTTGCTTTTAGATACTTCAAATGTTACTTTGGTTAGATTTTCCACTGATGAACTCCCTATGGAGTCGAATTTCGACTCTGATGAAACAAAATCACGTATGTTGGATGATTAAATTGGCAATTTATTTGTTAAAAAGTTCATTTTCATATTTTATCTGAGTGGAAATAATATATTTGAACCCATAGTTTTATAATCTGTTCATATCAAACAGTAAAAAGGACAGATTGTCATATTTTGTTTCAGCTTACCACCATTTTCTGTTCTTCAGAGAGATCAACACAAGAACATCACGAAAAACCAAAAAACAAATAGTAAAATGATTTCCAGTTTAACCAGTTGTTTGCACAATTTACAACAGTACCCAGTTCACAGACCAAGTCTATATTAAGTTCTCCTTAACCAGCAGTGGCTGGCCACTTAGTGATAGCTAGTAGTTCGACATATGTTTCTCATGATCACCCATATTCCCCCTGTCAGTTAGATAGCTTTTGGTTATGAATTATATCGCTTACCGATCGTATTAGGTTTATTAATTTGATGATAACAAATACCATACTCAAAAACTAATAATTCTTGCTATTACAGATGCGAACTTTAACATAAGATTTCTAACGATCCTTTACGAACATATTATTCTCAACTAACATTCCGTCTGTTAAAATACAAACTATGGTGAATTTGATCTTTCTTTTCATCAGGATTCCGAAGACATTCACAAAGCGCTTTTGCGTTTGCTTCAGAATGTCCAGTAGGAGAATATATTTTTGGTCTTTAGATTTGGCGGATTGTCGGTTTATTCATGCCATTCTAACTGAACACTTGATGAGTAGGGTGAAATAGATGCCATAATATTAAAACGAAGAACGAACTGTGAATGAAGTTACAGATGTATTTATGTTGTACAACCTGTATAGTTGTACTTTTAGTAGTGCTAATGAAATTAATATTGCTCTTTGTGAAAGTCAAGATTTTGAGACATTTCCGTGTAGTTCTATAATATTGACGCTTTAAAAACACCCCTACTTAGGGTTATAGAGATTTTCGATTGTAATGTAAATAGGAATTACTTTTCACGTATTTTATCTAAACTCGGTGTTTATCACTGAGATCCATCCTTCTTCCAGCTATTACTTTGTTCCGTTCCTTCTCGTCCAATGTTTTGTTTCACTTTGAAACTTGATACAAATTAATTGCAGATTGTATTTTCTCTTAAATTTAGGCCACTTATTATGGTACTTCATCGGACATCATATTTCTCATGTTAATCTTCACTACACACTATTCTCACAAACTCTTTATTGCTATGGTAAATCGATGTATATACTCTCCTTTGTTTAACTGACTAATTACTCATCAATATGAGGATGCTAACTCTATTTTTCCGTACTTAAACGCTTGTTACTGACTCCCTTGACGCCTCATGTATCTCAGATTACTTCCACATTTGAACCCAAACAGTAGGGGAAAGGCGCAAGATATCATTTAAAGCTTTGCTTCAATGGTTAATCTATTCACAGGAAGTGGGATTTATTCATTGATTTTCATAACCATATAAGTAATATTCCAAACGAGATGTCACGTAGTTCTTTATTTTTCTAGATGTCTTCAAGATCTATTTATTGCTGGATGGATAAAACGTTTAAAACCTTTTCCGGCTAACACTATAAACGGATATTTATTAACTTTTAACACTAATGAATTATTATTGTTGAATACACTAAAACGTTTGTTTAAAATACTTGGAATAAAGCCTGGTCAGAGACTGTCCACTACACCGAAGGTTTGAATATTGGATTCAGTTTTCATTGCTTGTTTGTTAACTAACTTGACATATGCAGCTCATTTATGTATAAATGTTGGGAATTCGATACATCATTTTCAAAGGTTTAGGAACTTTTGATGTCATAATGTATCATGCGCAGCTTCGGTCTTACTAATTACGGAAGCTGTTCACTTGTGTTTTTTCTACTGTTTCTCTTAATACTGAAAAAAATTTTCTAGATTCTGTGGCTGTTGTTTCTCATAAAAATCTAAGTGCACAAATTCACCATAATGTAATTTCTTGTGAGATGATCTACTTTCATTCTGAGATTTACAATATTTACTTTTCATGTTTCAGTTTCTAAGAGTACCAAGGACAATGAATCATCTTCCATACAAACAGGTGATAAGAATAGTGATTTTGCTGCATCACCTTCGAGTTCCGATTCATTTAGTTCTTCCTTGAAGGAGAATGCATCATGTGTGTTGCATGCTTCGACACTCCCAGTTTACGAAGAAGGATTTAACGCTATCACTCAAACTTCGGATTGTGATATGTCCCCCGTAACTGTTGTGGATGATGATAATGGTGAAATTGAAGTCGGATATGCAGCCGACAACAACGAAATAAATATGGATACTGAAGAATGTAAAGCTAAGACGAATGAGGAATGGATAGAAGAGATCAAGGCTTTGGCTTGTAAACTGCTTGAAAAATGGTCTAAATTACCGGTAAGTTCTTCACAATCTATAGGATTTAATGGCTATATATTTCATTATCATCATTTACTTCGAACTTGTTTTTATTATAATGCCATTTATATGTTTCTGTGTGTTATGATAGAAGGAAAACTACCGGATACCGCGATTGGAGCGTCAAGAGACCGAGAAAATGCTTCATATATCAAATCCAATTGGTTCTTCTCTTATCTCATGGGGATCGGAATACAAAGGTCGGTACTGTTTGGAACTAAATGTTTCCGTTCATTTCATAGAACTATTAAAAACTTAAGTTGCTTTTTATGTAAAACCATAGTTAGGGATTGCTTAGACCGAAAAAAAGTTTTGATATAGGGGCTTTATGAAGACGTACATTTTCATGGTTTGCATCACAGTCCGATTTTAGATTACTATTAAGAACGAGGAAGCACTGGACAACTGCTTCGTCCTAGTTTGGGATTCTTCAGCATTGCATATTCACATCAATCATAACTACACATGACTGCTTATTGTAATGCTTTACTTTTTCTTTGTGTGAATATCAGATTTCTAAGAATGTGTAGGTAAAAACGATTCAAATAACAATATCGAAAAGAGGTTTAAATGAAATGTTAGCTGAGTTCATGATAGCTGTAGACTCGTAAACAAATGTGTGATTCAATAAACAATCTGAAATTCGACTACACCGTATTTTAACACTGATCATAAAGTTATAACAACCAAATATTGTTTCCTTAATTGGTCAGCTATTTTTATTGTTTGGTTTATCAGATGAACAAGCAATATCCAATAAATCTTGGACTCAGAATAGTAACAGTAAATTCCAGTCAAATAAAACGTAAGTTTAAACACGATTATCTACTCTCCATTCATTGATTACCTATGCGTTTTTCCATATTAAATAATTCTAGGGATTTTTTACTCTTTATAAATATACCCAGGGTTTCCAGAACAGTGACAGGATACCAACTGTTTGCCGTTCGAATCAGTCAGTAAAGCATTAAAATTTCATTAAACCTACTATCACTCTTTTATCTTAACTAGTCCTTGCTGGATTGTTGTTGTTTGAGGAAGATTTACGTCTTCAAATGTACCACTTCCGATCAATAGGCATTATACAGTGTTTCTTATTTTATACTTTATAGTTTTTTTAAAAGCTTCCTGTCGAAATAAGGTACACATGATTTTATACTATCTATCCCGATTTCATGAAATAATGAGCACTTTCTGCAATACTATAATTAGTTCCCTGTTTTTGTTCTTTCTCAAGTCTACGTGACAAACTGGTTTCATCTTTCATTCGAGAGCAGAATGGTCCAAAAGCATCCAACAGTTCGTCATGTTTGTCCAAAGCTGAGAGACGTATGCTTTTCGAAGCTCAAGTTAAAGCTAATGAAAATCAATGTTCATCTGAAAATTCTGTTCCTACATCGGATGATTTTGTGCAGACAAATCCATCTAATGACGAAAAGGATACAGATCATCTTCGTCAGGTAATATTTTTGCTTGTTTCTTACCTTTATTTACTTATGATTCCATTTTTCTACACCATTTTATCAAATCCAAATATATTGTTTGTAACAGCCAACAATTAATTTCCTGATCAATATTAGTTTGTCATTTTGTTTTGTTTAATCCTATCGTATTTTAGTATTACTTTTCCAGTCAATATGATGGCTGCTCCCAAACTTCTGTGATAAAATCAAAATCTAAAATTTGTTTTTTCTAGAATACTCTTTCCATGAAATGTTCATTACTCTTAGTCTTATGGTCTTCACATAGTGTCTGATCAGTTGATGGCAAATTTACAAACATAAAACGTTATGTCTCGAGACCGCGGACTGATATCACATGCCAAGTCATCAGTCAGATTCCTAATTCTCGATTTTGTCTGTTTCGTTCCTACCACTTCTTGTACAGCTTATTGTCTTCGATTTGATCAGCTACATACCTCACGAGCAATTTTGATCGTGAACTGATACAACTAACTTCCTATTGGTCCGCATCTCGCAAACTTCTCTCTTTACCTTCCTTAAGTCCAAAAGTCAGCAAACAGCTTCTACTTTATATGCTTCAAACAAACGTAGTTTATATACGGACATACCAGCCGCATCACGTCATAAAATGAAAAATTATACATAAACGGGCGAAAAGCGGCTATGAATAGGGTAAATGTAAGTAATAGAATGTCAACAAATTTTGAAGGCATGATAGTAGTTAATGCGTTAACCGAAAACTTATCATCAACAGAGTACATAAAGATAGTAACCCAGTTGCTTACTAATCAAACAACAAAATTATAATTAAAAACAATCCGTAAATTAGTACTAAAAATATTCACTTTATTATAATACTAAAAAATTATCTCATGCATCGACTCTCTTGTGAACGAGACAACTCAGAGTGATATTTCTAGAATATTAAATGATTTCGTGACATTTGATTTTCACTTCACAACTATAAACATTTAGGGTTAGATACATTGTGTTATGTCAATAAAATTTTAGTGATAAAATTATAGGCCGTAAATAAACCATGCTAAGAAATAACAAATCACAAACCAGTAGTATTTGGTTGATTCTCTTTGCATCATTTCACGTTCGTGTTATTTGGTATTCGTTCTTTTCATTGTTTCAGCTATTACTCTGTGCACTTTTAAGTGAGTGCGGTCGAAACGATACTGCCCTTTCAAATCTTTTATCTAACATAGCTGTAGAATTGAAAAGCATGCCTGTTGTTTCTACTTTGTTACAAGCCTTACCTCGTATGTTGACTTTGATGTCCAGTTCCAACGATTCAGATTTGGTGAGTTATCCTCTAAATATTTCTTGTTGTGTAACGTTAGTCCCATTAAACAGATACAGAGAACCAGATCGATCATATTTGCATCAATAAAAAATTCAGAAGGTCAATGTAAAACTGAAGTTAAATAAGCAATGTACAACTGGAGAAACGGAATTGCGAAGGTCCAATAAAACCTTCCTTCGAAATACTGAAAAAAAATAAACGGATTCAAGATAACTCTCAACAATAGGTTCCAAGCCTTACATGATCTACTGAAGGAGGAAGAAACTACTATGAAGGATAACTGGAAAGAAATCAAAGAAGCATTAACTTCAGCGTGTCAGGAGGTTCTGGGCTGCAAGAAGCATCATCATAAGGAATGGATCTCTATAGAAACACTGGACAAGATCAAAGAAAGGAAGAACAAGAAAACGGCATTTAACAACAGCCGAGCACGAGCAGAGAAAGTCAAAGCACACGCGGAATACACAGAAGCAAACAAGCAAGTGAGCAGGAGCATTAGAGCCGACAAGCAGAAATATGTGGGAGACCTAGCAACGACAGCTAAAAGGTGCAAGAGATGGAAGTATGAAACAAATATATGGCGCAACAATAAAGCTGGAAGAGAAATATTGCAATCCAGAAAGACCGGTCAAGGAAAAAGAAGAGAAGCTAATTACTGGAATTCGAGAACAGAAGAAAAGATGGGTAGAACACTTTCACGAACTCTTGAATACTTCAGCTCCACTGAATCCACCGGACATCGAAGCAACACACACAGACCTTCCTATAGATGTCACTCCGTCAACGATCGAATAAAGCAGGATGGTCATCAAACAAATCGAAATTGAGAAGAAAACAGGACCAGACAACATACCAGCTGAAGCACTGATTCAAGTACAGAAGTGACTGCAAAGATGCCTCATATTCTATTCAAAAAGATTTGGAAGAAGAACAAGTGCCAACAGACTAGAAAGAAGGATACCTCACCAAGATACCAGAGAAAGGAGATCTGAACAAGTGTGAGAACTACAAAGGCATTACACTACTATCGGTACCAGTAAAAGTTTCGACAGGGTTCTGTTCAACTGAATGAAAAACTCAACCAATGCACACTTGATGGAGAAGCACTGGAATAGGCGGATGCTTTCACGCGACTGAGAAGCATAATTGATGAACTAGGAGGATCTGATGTAGATGAGAAGGCACTGATTGGCAAAACATGGGCAGAATTCTTACAACCGGAGAACGTATGGAACTAAAAATAACTGTCAGTCAGTTACAACATAGGAACAAGCACATAAGTGCATCGGTCAAAGTTACTGTATCTCATTAGCGGAACAAGTTAAACACCAAATTCATAGAAGTAATTAGTTCATCAGCCAACATGAAAGCAAAGTCTTCAATACAAAGGTCGAGACAGTCCTATTGTACAGAGAACTACTACAACTTTCATCAAAATATGTAGGTATTTATAAACAATTGTTTACGCCAGACACTCAGTGTGTGCTAGTTGGATACTATCAGCAACAGTCTACTGTAGGAGAGGACAAACCAGCTTTGAGATGAAGATCAATTTTGAAAATGGCGCTGAAGGTGGATAGGACATAATTGACGGAAATCATCCAACAGCATCACGAGGCAATCGCTAACATGTAGTCCTGAAGGGAAATGGGAAAGAAGAAGACCGAAGAACATACTTCACTGGATATTGGAAGCAGACATGAAAAGGATGAATAGCTCCTCCATGAGGGCAGACAGTTGCAAGTAATGGTAGTCCTATGCTATACAACTATCGAACCAGTTTTCTTATTTGTATTGTGTTAAGCACTTGACTTCCAATCACTGAGTCTCGTGTTAAATGAAACCTGGTACCTAAGGGCTGACAATAGTTATCTCTTATCATGGATTTCTTTAGTTTGCTAGTTAGTTCTGTACTATAGGACTACTTTTTATAGAATGGTAGTGTTTTAGTGAATTGTAATAATATCATGTATTATGAGGTACAACATTCTTTTAAGTCAACGGTGATGTTTCTTAGAGTTGCCAATCGTTGGGATTCCTCCTTCATTTCACCATGGACGTTCAGCACAAAAAATTGTTTCCCTGTGCGTTAGCATACATTCTATCCAAATTATAGCTGTTCTGTCAGTTTTCTAGAGAGTATATGCAATTTAGCGATTTAAAGCGTCACCAAACATCACGTTTTGCTTTTCATTTCTGTTCATAATAAGTTGTGACGCGATTACTGATCAAACGTAATCTTCCACAGTGTGTTCCTATTGATGCTTACTTTATTCTTATTTCATGCACATCTAACCTCCTACAAAGTCGTTCTTACCATTTATAGGCCCTATCTTGATACTTTGTTGTACAACTCATCTGTAGACCTCAATTTAGGTTTCAAGATGTGCTATTAATTTTATATGTTTTAACTAACGTGTTCAGGGAATAATAATTCATCTACTTGTACAGCATTTTCTTAGCTTCACTATTGTTTTCTCTAATGTGGTTTAATTCACAGTTTTCCTAACTTTTCAAATATGTGTCTTGAATTTGTGCTTAAATGGTCTAAAACTTTTATATGTAACCATTAATCTCAGAATTCTATCTAATCTTAATCTTTAGAAAGGCACTTATCTGCACGCTTATTTGAATGTATTTCTGAAATATTTTTCTACACTTTTATATTTAAAATGATATAGGTTACGCGTCTTTGTAAAGAACTCAAACGGTATGCTGATGATGACTTAAACTCATTACCTGCGGGCTGGAGATCAGCTGCTGACTCGAGTGGGCGACTGTATTATTACAATAAAGAAACAAATAGTGTTCAGTGGGAGAAGCCACTAATAAATTCCAATGAAAAAGATGACGTAAGAAAAACAGTTCATGTGATAATTGATTGAGCTTTTCATCGAATTTAATAGTCTAAAACTATTCATTTTCTAAATCCTTAAATACCGTTGTTTTGTTTTTCAGAAAAACACCCTTACTGAAGAGCAATATGGACAGATGAAAAGACAGTTTACTCATGAGGTTAGTTGACCACTGAGTTCTATCACATTTTTTTCTATATTTGTGAATCTTCTACTTACTAAGGCGCGTAAGTTCACACCCATGAAATCGATTGTGAGTTAACCTTTAAATATAAGTGGCTAGTCCTACACTTATCCTTCATATCAGTTACCAGTGACACTACTCACACATTATTATTATCCAAGGTTTCAGAACTTTTATTGAATTATTTGAATTGATCTAAAACTCAAATTTTTCATATTTTGTTTCCGTCATTCTGATGGTATCACTGGATTTCCACAAGAGGTATAGATCCAAGTCGAACATATAAATTAATATTAATTGTTAAATTGATGTTGTAGGGGATGATCAAAATAATAAATCGTATGTGAACCATTTGTGTATCATCAAGATATTCTCAATCTAGCCTACGTGTATTTATTCATACTGTTTGGATCAATTGCGTTATAATTTTTTAAGGGGATAGATCACACTTCATACACTGAATTAACTTAAGCTTTCAAAATGGTCACCTACATCAATTTTTTAGTGTTCTATGTTTTATGATCATTTCAAATATCTTGCCGAATCAGTTTGATAACGAAATTTTCTGTTTAATTCTCTTTAGGTTGGAAATTACATTTTGCGTCTTCTGAAGCCCTACAGACTACCCAATTGTTTGACTGGTCGTATAGACTCAAGCGAAGACTTTGTGCATATAACGAAAAAGGTAGGATTACTCTTTTATTATCTAGTAACATGTATGTATGATATACGTCCATGGCTTAAAGCTGATATCTAATTACTTCATTTTCCCATCTTCCATAAGTTTTGCATTTCAAATAGCAATGAGAAATTGCGAAATGTAGAAGACAAAACATCTCATGTAAGAAATACATGCAAATGAGTTTTCCCGTAAGTAAAATTAAGAGAGTATACCTGTATTTGATGGCTCATAGTCTTTTTCATTTTCACTACGACTCCTCAACAACGTAAAACTGTATTTTTGAAAGACAGAATTTTCTTAACATATTGTCCAGCTCGTCAATACGAATATTCTAAACTTCCCTTCTGTACTTACGTTGGCACACATTCAGTTCCTTCCATGGTCAAAATAAGTTTATTATATTTTATGTATGTTCATCTTGAGCTATATATTTATTGTCAATACCGCTCATCCAATAAAATTACAACGGAATACTCATAAACAAATAACAACTTGATGTACATCAAGAAATGCCGTCAGATTTCTTCCATGAGTTTAGTTTCTATTTAGACACTATTCGTATCGCTCTTCAGGATTTCACTTATATATTTGTTATCTCATTGTAGTTGTAGTGTCTTTAATGTTCTGTTTACATCTGCCCATTTTAAAACTAATGTTCATTTGTGGTGAACATGATCTTCAATAAAGGGATAGTCAAAATATATTGCTGGTATCATTGTAATACATCATTCTCCATTTGTTTTTTCGGTTTTCTTTACATTCATGTAATATTTTAGACAATTAAAAAGAAATTATCTCAACTTTATTTTCCAGCTAACTCATTCGTTCGTATCGAAGGAACTAAAGCGATCATCACTAACTTCACCACCAACTTTTTCAAATGGACTTCAAGAACGTATACGTTTAAGTGTTACACGGTATATGACTTCACGCGGGCCAGTATATAGGCGTAAAACGAAAATAAATAATCCGAGGTGACTTTATATATATGTATATATATATATATATATATATATATATATATATATATTACAAGTAAATCTGTATATAGTCAGATTTTTCTGCATACTGGAGAGCAATTATGGTATATATATATATATATATATATATATATATATATATATATATATATATATATATATATATATATATATATATATATATATATATACTTTGTTACAGTATATGTATAATCGTATGTCTTTTTTAGTGATAATTTAGTTTATTCAACTTATAGCTTCCATGGAAATAGTAGGAATTTTCAATTTTTTTCAAAAATTAAAACCAATATCGTAAATGTTAAATAAGACAATACTTATTTTATTCAATGGCAGCATTTTGCTACAAAAATTATTTACTACCGGTAACTTGCTTGGTTTTAATTTATTTCTCAGGTTTAGAACAATTGTACATGTTTTTCCTCTTGTAGTAGGAATATGATGAAATGTTAATGTTGTTCTTCTCATTTCACTTACTGATATCTTTCTAATTGAAGTTGTAAATAACGAATGGCTGTGTTTATTATTTAATAACTTTAATGAACATTTTAACCAGGATAATACTGTAGTTTCATGTACGTCTATCTGTTTCTTACTTATTTACTATCTTCTTTACTCAAATGATAATTTTGAACCGATCTAGGCAGCTTTTAATTAACCTTAGTTTTTTTCCCCATTTATTAGTAACTGACAGTAATTATTTAAATAATATGTTTTACTGTAAATCTTAAATAAATTAGTGTTTTTTATGTGTGTTTTGATGTCCTTAATTACACGCTTTCAGTATTAAATCGAACTTCAGTGTAGTTGTATCTTTTACTGTAGTTTGTTTAAAATATGTTAGTGCTATTGACATCTCATTTGCTCAGCTACACATTCTTCACCAAATTTATTTATAGTAGTACTACGAACTCAAACGTATAAATATATGTGTTTTATTACTGCATTTTAAATGTAAGAGTTTATATATGGGTTAGTGAACCTAACCGTACATCATTACCACTGTAAATAGAAGTTAAACTTGTCATATCGTTGCACAAACTTGTGCTTAAAGCACCTTTTCTACTGAGATTGCTGTTCTGTGATAACTCATGTTATAACAATACCAACCAAAGGACTGTTTTACTGCACAGCAGTTCGTTGCGTCCTACTCTCTGGTAGTGAAACATGGCCGGTAAGAGTATAGGATATTCGTAGGCTACTAGTATTTGATTATAGGTGTCTTCGAAACATTGCTCGTATATCCTGGGACCATCGAGTAAGTAACGCAGTTGTTAAGAAACGGGTGCTAGGCAAATCGATTGATGAAGTAGTGAAACTTCATCAGTTGAGATGGCTGGGACACGTGTTACGTATGCCAAACGACCGACTGCCTCGACGTGCTATGTTCAGTGGTATAGGAGTAGGTTGTAAGAAAGCTAGGGGCGGCCAAACCAAAACATGGCACAAGTCCATGAAGTCACTGACAAGTGGATTGAGTTATGTTGGTATGTGTAGACTACCTGATTGGGGACCGCGAGATGATAGCAACCGATGGTTAGAGACCCAGAATGACATGGCTCAAAATCGTTTGCAATGGCGCAGGTGCATCCACTCTTTGTGTTCTCCCAAATTTTGATCTCCTTATTCCTCCTTGTCTCTTTTTTTCTCTTCCCAAATTTATTTCACTGGATTATACTCTTTAAATAACATCTCCAAACCCTAATCTTCCCGATTACTGCTTATACTCTTACTATCTCTACCACAATGGGATTCGAATCGACAACTGTATCTCTGTGCTAATATCGTATGCCAATCCGAACTGATGTACGTACGTACGAAGTTCTGCGTTGTTACCGACTGACTGATATTTATCTTGTCTGTTTTTTTAACAATGAGAGGTACTGTTGAAGCGTAAAATATATCATTCAATTGGTGCTTTTACTCATCTTTTTATAATATCATATTGTGCAATTCCTCAATCGTGTTACAAACCGCGAAAATATTTTCATAAGCTTTAACGAATTCTACTGACCTTTGAAAAGTTAATCTGAATAAAAATAAAGAGAACTCAGCGAAGAAAATAAAATTTTTGACGAAATCATTCACTTAAGCTGTACATTTATATTTATAGTTATATGAAAAATATATGTCTTTAGAAGGATAGAAAAGATTGCTTCGTAAATTGATTTGGGACTCTTATTATCGAATGAGGTTACGTAATTATTTGTCAATAAAGAAGCATTTAATCGACTATGGACACTTCTCTCCAAAGGAATTTTTTAAAATAATCTACGCAAAGTAATTGGATCGAAGGAAAGTCGAATCAAGTTCTAATCAATGTTGAGGCATTGGCAATCCAGCATTTCAAGCCCGTACTTTGCGTGCAATACGATACGTCCAACATCTCATCCTTCCTTGGTCCTGATTCCCATCCGTAATGTTTCGTTTTTTTCACTTTTTATTCTATTATTATTATCATCGATTTTTTTGATTTAGTGTTTTGTAATTGCAAACTGTAATCAGTTATTATAATGACCTTTATGTTTGTCGTTTTTCTTCATATATGTCAACTAGACAATTATCTGACCCGTAAATTATTTTCATCCTTACATTCTTTTCTTAGCCCTTGATTATTGCGTAACCTTATTTGATAATAAGAGTCCCAAATCAATTTACGAAGCAATCTTTTCTATCCTTCTATAAACATATATTTCCCATATGATTGAATGATTTCGTCAAAAATAAAATTTTCTTCACTGAGTTTTCTTTATTTTTATTCACTGACACAATGGTTTTTTTTAATTATCTGAAAAGTTAATTGATGATACATATTCGTTATTCATTAATCCCCTATATTTAAGTAATGTTGAATTGTAATCATTTAATTAGCATAGTTAAATTGTAAATATGTATGTAAATGTAGCAGGTCATGACTTTGATTTCACTGGGTTACCAATCTCTTCAACTTGTTAAACATACATAAATTTCCTCAAACTAGTATAAAATATAGTAAATATTCCTTCGACAACTGTATTGTTCATATTCATACGTTGAATCTGCAGATTAATTCTAAGAAATAAAATGCATATATGAATGCCAGGTGCTAGATCCCTTGCAACAGCTCACAATAAGGCTACATCTTAGACAATTTATGAACAAGTATATTTTGAATTAGATCAAGCTAAAATTTCATAGTAGAGATCCGTGTTCGTTCGATATTTCTGGTTTCGCAGTGATTGAATAAAACCTTTTGTATTCGGGACTTTTCAATTAGTTCCTTTGTTACCGTTTGAGTTGTTTATTTATATTTGTTTGCTACCGATCTGCGTCTCTTACTTACGCCTGTTACTCGCAATGGAACATACGCCGCCGACCAGTGTTCTCCAACCCAATCTGTCCTAGGCCTTCCTTTCTATTTCTGTCCGATTGTTCGCTCTTCTCATGTCTGTCTCCATTTCTCGGTGTAATATGTTCTTTGGTCCTTCTCTTCTCGTTTGGCCTTTAGGATTCCAAATGAGGGCTTGTCTTGTGATGCAGATAGGTGCTTTCGTTAATGTGTGTCTTATCCACTTCCAGCGCTTCCTTATTTCGTTCGCTGGGATCTGGTTTGTTCTCTCCCATGGTAGGTTGTTGCTGATAGTGTCTGGCCAACGGACCCAAATTATTTTACGTAGACAGCTGTTAATAAACACTTGTATCTTCTGGATGAGGACTTTCGTAGTTCTCCAGGTTTCCGCCCCATACAGTAGAACTGTGTTGACATTTGTATTGAAAATTCTGACCTTGATGTTGGTCGACAGTTGTTTTGAGTTTTACATCTTCCAAAGTCTCTGTGTAAAGTGTGATTCGATTGTTTCATGCTGTGTTGTATTGGAGAATCTTGCATTTCCCTTTGTGTACGTTCACACATACTGCTGCTACACTGGTCGTCTTCTGCATTTTTTGTTGCGTGTGCGATAGAAGAGCCAGATCATCTGCAAAGTCTAGATCGTCCAGTTGAATCATAGTTTTCCACTTTATCCCATGTTCAAGGCAGTATAATTACAAAAGATTTCGCTTAAAGGTCAAGTTATTATTTATTAGTTGCATAGTATGCTTAGTGACATCATAAAGACTTTTAGTGATCATAGCATTGTTCAGGTTCTTTAATCGCACGTCAGTGAGTATCTGTGATAACTCACACAGCTCATGTGGGATCAGTATTCGTAAACTAAACTGGTATCATTATCCATATGAACCTCCATATAATTTGTTTTTGTTTCTCAAGCTATTTAGCCATTTGTTTTACAGGAAATCGAGTAGGTTGACGTTTAACAGTCATGTTATGTTTTGATTTCAACGACTCATTCTGTCAACTCCGCAGTCATTGTAACTGTTGAGACTCTGAATGATTCGAATGATAATCATTTCGAACTGCTGTCTAGCAAAAGTTTGAATAATTTAATTGAATTTCAAAACAGCCACTATTTATAATTTAATTGGTTTGGTTAATAATAATATTTTCGCAATGTTTTATGGGAGTAATTCACTCGAGCTAATCACGACTTCTAATTTCTTAACTTTCAATTGGGCTTCTCTCTTTGAATATTCCTCAAAAGCAGATACCACATGTTCACAAGAGGCATGGATTGTTTCACCAGAGAGTATGTTACGGTTCCGAACGCATTAAACTTTCAATCAAGTAAAAAGTTTTGACTGGATGTTCTGTTGACAATAATGATGTACCAAGAATTGCATACATATCCTTCCCACCTACAGATTCATAACATCGTAAATTCTGAATAGTGTCTTTCCGCCCATCACCGTGCAAAGTTTTATTGTGATCGATCCTACTGTGGGGTTTGGAAACCAAACCCTAAACGACTCCAAATAATCTAATTGCCTGTAATTTGTGGTAACATCGTCTCAGTAATCTTATGACACATAAGCATATTTGATCATTGTACTAACTATGTATTTAACAGCGTTACCTTGAACAAATTCTTATATGGACTTCATATCTCTTTATTTACTTCGACTCCAAACGACTTTTCCCATTGATCACCTACAGTC